TGATTATGTCGTCGACATAGACAAGTAAGAAAACCCGGGAATCGCCGGCCGTGTAGTAGAACAAGGAGACATCGGTTTTGGAGGATTTAAAACCTGCAGATAATAGAAAATCATGAAGGCGCTTAAACCAGGCGCGTGGGGCCTGTTTCAAGCCATAAAGCGACCGCTGTAAGAGGCACACATGCCCGGGATTGGTGGGATCCTCATATCCCGGAGGTTGCTTCATGTATACGGTTTCTGCTAGGTGACCGTTCAAGAAAGCATTGTGAACGTCAAGTTGACGTAGCGTCCACTGATTCGATACTGCAAGAGAGAACAGCATTCGGACAGTGGTGGGTTTAACCACTGGGCTGAAGGTGTCGAAGAAATCCTCTCCTGCCACTTGATTAAACCCTTTTGCCACGAGGCGCGCCTTGTAGCGTTCCACCGTGCCATCGGACTTGCGTTTGGTGCGAAACACCCACTTGCACCCAATGATATTCATATGGGACTCGGGAGCAACAAGTCGCCACGTCTGGTTATGGAGTAGAGCATTAAACTCTTGATCCATTGCCTCCCGCCAATGTGAATGACCTACGGCTTGAGAATAGCACGTTGGGTCGGTGCTGACAGTTAAGGCCTGGAATGTCTCATCTGTGCCCTTAGTCATATGACGCAGGCGCATGACATGATCCCTACTCTGTGGTGCAACCCTTTTTCTGCGGGTTTTAACCGGTGCTGTGTGGGAGATAGCCAGTGCAGGTGGCTCCTGTGCAAGTGGTACGGGCTCCGGCTCGGCATAACACGGTGTGTTATTGGGTGCCACTGGTTGTGGAGCAAGGGATGAGACTATTGGTGCCGCAGCCCATGGTAAAGCGGGCGTTGATGTCTCAGCAGGTGTATGCCCTGTAGAAAAAGGAAAAATAGTCTCATCGAATCGGACGTGACGACAGATGTAGGTTTTCCCACTTGTTAGATCAATGCATCTGTATCCCCTATAGGTTGGTGGGTAACCTAGGAAGACACACGGAGTGGACCGGTATTCTATCTTATGCCTGTTATAGGGGCGTAGATAGGGAAAACACCGACATCCAAAGACTCTAAGAAAGGTATATAGTGGTGGTGTTTTAAAGAGACGGGTGTAGGGAATTTCAAAGTTTATAGCTGCTGAGGGTAAGTAGTTAATTAAACAGGTTGCTGTTTCGAAAGCGTAGTCCCAGTAATGTTGGGGAACTTTGCCTTCAGCTAACAGTGCAAGACCTATTTCAACAACGTGTCTGTTTTTACGTTCTACCCTCCCGTTTTGTTCATGTGTATAGGCACAAGATTGACGGTGATTTATTCCCAGATTTTAGAACGTAGTGTGTAACTTTCGGTACTCACCCCCTAGATCGGACTGAATGGACTTGATAGAGCGCGAGAATTGTCGCTCTACCAACACACGAAACAACTCGAAAATTTTATATATGTCAGATTTCATCCTTAAAGGATAAAACTAACAGAAACGCGAAAAATCGTCTACAAATAGTACAAAGTAGCGAAAACCATTTGTAGACATTACAGGTGACGGTCCCCATATATCTGTATAGACCAAATCTAATACATTTTCACTAATATTGGGAACTTTATCTAATTTAAAACGTGTGGACTTGCCAAGGTGACACGCTACACATGACTCCACGGATTCACTTTTATTTGGAATGACCGGGCAATTTGACAACACTTTATTGAGCAGTTGTTTATGCGGGTGACCGAGGCGACGATGCCACACCGTGGGAGTAGCCCGGGAACTGACGAACGCTAGATGACACCGGGACACCGGGAGTTTATATAATCCGCCAGTGGTGGGACCCCTAAGAAGAATTGCCTTGGTGGTTGAATCCTTCACAAAAAAACAATTAGCATGAAATTCAACAAAGACATTATTTTCAGATGTGAATTTCTGCACAGACAATAACGGAACTGACAAAGATGGTACGTGTAATATATTAGATAAAGACAACGGTTTAGAATTAGATGGGAGAGATGCATGTCCAACGCGTGAGATCGCCAGACCTGCGCCATTACCGACACGCAAGACATCAGCGCCGGTATACTCATCCGAATGGCTCATCATGCCCGCATCCGGAGTCGCATGGGCAGTCGCTCCCGTATCCGGATACCAGGCTTCGGATGGTGCAGCTGTAGACGGCATGGACGGTGCATCATTTGAGATCGCGACGTTGGCTTGCGGCGGTTGTGTATTGTACCGTTTGTAGCAGTACACCGCCGTGTGACCGTGGGACCTGCATATCTGACACCTCGGAGTTCCACGGCCACCTCGTCCACCCCTATTCTGGCCGCCACCACGGCTGTTCTGGCCACCACGCCCTTGCGGATTACCTGACTGCCTGCCGCCACCTTGCTGCGTACTGCCACGGCCCGAGCTGGCGTACATGGCCGTGAGGCTGCCAGGTGAGTCGCCGGCCACCGGATAATCGTCCACGAGTATAAACTCGTGGGCCTGGAGATGATCAGAGAGATGCGCTAAGGTGACCGGAGATCCCGTTGCCGTCAAGGAAGTCGCCATGGCCTTCAGTTCCGGACGTAATCCCCGAAAGACATAGAGATTTTGCTCCATGAGGGATAACGGCCGGTCGGCCTGAGCTAAGGCTTCCACGAGCAATTGCGCACGCCCGAGGTACTCGGCGGTGGTGGAGTGGCCTTGCCGGAGAACCTGGAACTGCCCCAACAGACTGAGGCATCTGGCTTGGCTCGACGATCCGAGAGCGGATGTAATAGAAGACCACACCGCAGCAGACGTTTCTTTTCCGATGGCGAGATGGAGAACTTCATCCGCCATGGAGGACACCAACAACGATAATATGGACTGATCCTGCTTCTCCCAGGCTTTGAACGCCGGATTGGGGATGATGGAGGCAGTCGCGTCGTCGGAGGTCCCGGTCGAAGGAGCGGCAATCGTGGCCGGAGGACATGGATAACTCCCGTCCACATACCCAAGCAGTTCTTGGCCGCGAAGGAATGGGATGATTTGGGTGCGCCAGAACAGAAAATTTCTGTTCGTCAGTTTCATGCTCACGAAGTGATGAGCGCCGGAAAGACCGTTCGCACCTGCCGGAGTTGGATTGCCGGAGGCGGAAGCAGTTCGATTGGAGGAACTTGACGACATGGCTAGCGGTGAGAGGGGGAGAGAATTTTGGCCGGTGAGGTTTTACGGGAAGGAGGGGGAAAAATTGCGTTTGCGGAGGAGAGAGAATCGTATCCTGACTGATACCAGATTAGAGAATTCAAAATAATTCAGTTGCGATTGAATTGAGATTACAAAGTATATCTGTAATCAATCTAAAACTACTCCTGACAACTAGGCTATACTAAGTCAAACATAACTAACATCATATAATTACAATCATATTATAAAATAATAATAATAGTAATACTAACACAGCTATGTTATAAACTTACAACTCCATTTTTATTATCGTCTCACATTGTACTGTACATTAGTTTGGTTTTAATCTTTCAAGAATATAATTATGGTTTCTTCGTTCTCTTAGCTGAAAATCCATTGTCTTATCTGCTTAGGTTCCTCCCCAAAAATTAGTCCTTAGAAAAGGAAAAAAGAATTCCATAGAATTGGTTTGAAGATGGTTTAGAAATTGTTATCACATCATCTTATAAAAAAATTAAATTTATTATTTTACAATTTTGATGTCAGTAATACATATATCATTCCCAACCAAGTGTCATACCAACACGCTTCAATAACTTACAACAAACTATTTCAATTTGCAAATACAGTTTTCTTATTTAGTGTATAACTTAAGAATGGATTCAATTAGTAACATTAATCTACACATTGGGTTAAATTAGTAACATTAATCTACACTAATGACTTGGATGATTTCTCCCAGACCACAGCAGTCGCTTTGGAGTTTGGTCACTCGGATAGTCACATAGCTCTGCGAGTCCACATTTCTTATCATCTTACTCTAGAGCCAGTCAAAGTACCTACGGATTTATTGTATTGCATGATCGATGGATTTATTATGAAATTTTTTATAGTCTGAGTTTTCTTACAAAAGAAATGAAAATAATAAGTTTACAATCAACACCAAAATATAATTATGTTTTAATATTAAAAATCGATAATACAAACCTTTATTTTTTTTTTCTCCCGCCATTTATCGGAGTCACTAATCTTATTTGTACCAGGATCCCACCCTAAACCAGTTTCTTCACATTTCAGTTGATTCCAAGTTCTTCATTCTTTTTTCATAGCATCTCACTTATTCTTTAAACTTTTATGTGCAATTTTTCATTTGGCGGTAGCTCCTCTTCTTCAATCTATTTCCATTTCATTATCCGACACCCATGTTTTCGAATATATTTGATACAAATCTCACAAAAAAAGCACTATGTATTCGTTGATCCACTTAAAATTCTCTCAATCCATATTATCATTTGTTGAAGCCATACATATTGCTAAATTAAAAATAACAACAACAATAATAAGCTAAAGTTGTAGTTTAATGGGACTAAACACATCAAATTATCCAAATAATCCAATTTAAACAAGCATTACTAGTTGAATACTTGAATAGAAATTACAAAGTCCGAAATCCAAATGATCCAATCCAAACAAGCACTAATATTGAATTAATTGAGTAATCAGGATACTGTCATTAACTATACAAATTACATTAAGCCATGCTCATACTGTCATAATATCATTAAGCATTAACTCATTTAGTCATGTTCATATTGTCATATATGTACTCCATAATCTGACTGCTCTGTATACAACTATACAAGTAATACAACAAAATAGCATATACATACCTGCGAGATATGCGAGATACAAACTCAGAATTAGTAAGAAACTCAGGGGGAACCACGTTCCTAATCCTTACCCTTGTCGCACTTTCACATCATTTTCTCTGGTTAAATGAAGCATTGCTACACCCTCCATTATTTATAGGAATCGATGGACTGACCTTCATTGGCTCAAAATTGCAAGCTTATTTAGGGAAACACTACAACAATATAGTATGGATGCTACAAGTCATGATCTCCTAAACAATTAAATCTTAACTACTTAACTAGCTACTTAATTGTTCGTGAAATAACATATGCCATGTAAGGTGTATTACATTAAGTTACTTTATTAAAAAATTATTTTACAAATTATTAATTAATTTCAAACTTAAAACTGATTTATGTAAAAAGTCTCTGTTAGAACAGGAGGGACATCATTCACATTTGTTGTCACGAAAGGACTAGTGGGCAACGCCAAGTCGTGTCCCTCCCTTTCTAGCATTTGAACCACCACTTTCATGGGAGGCCGATCTACGGGTTGCCACTGAATGCACCACAAAGCTATTATTGCTAGCTTTTTCACTATCACTTCATCATCATCCTCCTCGATTCTGATTCGCAACTCTCCTCCATTGTTCAGGTGATTGTACACCCATTCTGGAAAACTATCCTGGCTGGCATTAGTCCCCGTGTTACCATCGAAGTTTTTCCTTCCTCCCACCATTTCCAAAAGCAACATGCCAAAGCTATACACATCTGACTTGTGAGAGACTTTGCCAAAGTTTCTAGACACAACTTCGGGTGCGATGTAACCCATGGTTCCCCTGGCAGCGGTCATGGTGACAGCACTTTTCTCTTTGGAGCACAGTTTCGCAAGTCCAAAATCGCATATCTTGGGATTCATGTTGTGGTCTACGATGATGTTGTGGGGTTTGATATCAAAATGAAGAATTTGCTGGTCGCAACCTTGATGGAGATATTCAATTCCTTTGGCTATACCCAGGGCTATTTCTTGAATCTTTTTCCAACCCAGGGCAACATTCTTTGAGCCACCTGTTGAAAATATGTATTTCTCCAAGGATTCATTTAGCAAGTACTCGTACACCAGTGCTCGTCTAAATCCATCTGCGCAGAAGCCAACCAAACGAACAGACGTTAACATGGTGGATCTTTCCTATTATCCCGACTTCATTGATGAACTCCTCTCCATTCCCCTTGGAATCATTCAGCACTTTGACTGCAACGTGAATTTCACTGGAAAGCTTCCCTTTGTACACAATTCCATAACCTCCTTCTCCCAGTCTCTCACTAAAGTGATTAGTGATTTTCTTGATATCAGCAAAGCTATATCTTGTTGGCCTGATAGCTCTGTAATCTTCCAAAAACTGTTCAACTCTTTTCTGGTTCTGTTTTTGTGTTTTACCGGTGGTGTAAAACTGGTAGACGCCAAAGCTGACAAATGCCAACAGAAAGAATCCCAAAATGGCACCTGCATATATGTATATATGTTGGGGAAAACAAATCAGAATGACATATTATATCTATTCCTGGGGAATATAATGAGACTGAATAAACATAACAATAAAATAATTGGAAGAGTATAGTATGATGACCTGCAATAATTGGGTTTTTGGGTCCTGGTGGATCTGTTATAAATTTGGGGAAATAAAGTTAGAGGGTGCTCTGCTTCATTGTTACATACTGTTATTTCAAATGATGATATGAAAGAAATCAACAATCAAATACGAAAGTAACAGAGTACCTACCAGGTGTCTTTGGTGTGCCAAGGCATTGAACTTCCAGTGTGATGTTATTATGGTTCTTTAACCTACAATCTTTGCCTTGTGCTTCACAATTTAAACATGATGGATTTATCCACTTAAGCTGAAGAGTATCCTTTAAATCATAAAGCTGATAAAGGAATGTAGTTTCACGAAACTTTACGCAAGATGGGGACTGGAATTCATCGAGTGAAACTGAAGAAGCTACGGCATATACTTGGTGACCAGGAACACCAACACAGGAAATTAACCCATAATAACTTGTGCCACCAGAACCTTTGGATGCAGAACAGTTGAATAGGGAGTAATCGTCCCAGGAAAATGAGCCGGAATATTGGAATGGAGATAGAGATAAGTTAAGGTGTAGTAGCATCTTGCCGGAAAGACAACCATCAGGGTCAGATAGGAAGATCTGCTGGGACGCGTAGTCAATCTCATCAACCTGCAATTGCACTGCATGCGGCAGCTCCACCAAAGTGTTGCCATTGTTATCACAGGATAACTCGAATCCGGGATACCCACAGTGCTGCTCATGTTTAAGCTTGAAAGGGAAATGGATTCCCGGGCCGCCGCTCCTGCACCGGCTCTCCTCACAATCCTCAAACCCCACAACAAGCAATGGAAGTAATAGTGTGATAAAGAGACGAAATGAGAAGAAGAAGAAGAAGAAGATGGTGAGCTGCATCTGTAAGGACTCGTTAGTGATGAATGATTATCTTTCCCCAGTCCCCACACAATTTGCTTTGCTCATCAATTGCTTATGTCTACGTATAGTTTCCAAAGTGCTCAAAAGGCAACGCGTTTGGATGACTATTTTACTCCGCTATTGGACTTTTCTTATCTGTTGGGCGGAGGACGACAAAGGATTTAAAGAGCAAGTCTAACATCTATTCTTTTGGAGCTTTATTTTTAGTGGAATAAAAAATAATTTTTAATATATATACTACCTAAAAATTTATATTTAGGCCCGGTTTGGTAAATATATTTTTTTATTTTAATTGTTTTATCACATTAATAATATTTCATATTTTGTTAAGAACATTTTTTCTCATGTTTCAAAGTTGATGGGAATTATTCCCAATCATATATATCGTATTGTATTCATGATCGGTATCAAGGCTGTTCACCGAGTAGAGCCGTAACTGAGCATGTCCGACCTCCTTGCGTGATTGACCCAACGTCGATTGCAAGCCAAACATAGTTTTACTTCCCAGTAGGGCTTGACTCTCATATTTTCACCTCGACCATTTTTGGTCGGGATTGACCATTCGACCCACGATACTCAAAGCATTATGTTTAGTTCCTCCAGCCGAATACAATAACGGTGGGTGCGGAAGGGCTATAAATCTTAAGACGTGTTGATGGACCAGCAAGGTCTCTGACTGTCCCATGCATGCATTCCACGTGTCGCACATACCGAGAGACCGACATGTGTCCCCTTGCGCCTCCTATAAATACTGTATTAAATGTGTGTGTGGAGGGAGGGAAGAAGAGTTTGCTCTTAAACCAACGAATAGATAAGTGAAGGACCTAAACCTGGTACAATCCTGGCCGTAACACATACGTATTTGTAAGATCGAATCATCATATTTACCAAAACAAAAATGTTTCAATTTTTCGTTCCTACTGGGTATTATTTTTTGAGCAAATACCAATTTTGGTCCCACGAGTATTAGCAAAATGACAGTTTTGGTCCACATGTTTAATTCCTACCAATTTTCATCCACGACTATTGTTTTACTACCAATTTTCATCCACGACTATTGTTTTAGTACCAAAATTCATCACACCGGTCACCCCTTTGTTTAAGATATGCCGAAATATGAAATTATTAATGTTATTTTTGTCTTTTTCAAATTAAGATCCTAATTTGAGCATGAATAAATGAATTTAAACCTTAAAATCGATCTCATTTCACGGTTCTACTCCTCAAATTAAGGTAAGATGAGGAGGAGAACTGCGAATTGGGATTGAACTTTGAGCTTAAATCTCACTATTCATGCTCAAATTGAGATCTTAAGTTGAAAAGGACGAAAATACACTTAAAATTTTAGATTTCGGCACGTCTTAAAACAAATGAGTGACCGACATGATGAATTTTGGTACTAAAACAATAATCGTGGATGAAAATTGGTAGGAATTAAACATGTGCACCAAAATCGTCATTTTACTAATACTCATGGAACCAAAATTGGTATTTGCTGTTATTTTTTACTCCACCGTACATGTGAAAATTAAACAATGAAATTCATTAAGTATGATTGTGAAGTGCCAAAGTTTTCCAAGCCTACTCGCTAGTTTTAGGTCCGCAAGCTTAGTTAGAATTTTCTACATCGATCAAATCATGTGTATAGCTTACAATGTGGACGTGAGCTTATTGACCTTTCCATGCATTTGGGAATTTTGTCTTTATGTGCAGAATAAATTTTCTTAAGAACATAAAATCAAGGGAGTTGATTGAGTCAAATATCACAGAAAAGATGTGATGATGTGTCGCACATGGTTACATACAAATGAATATACATATCAAAATATAAAGTTTGATTGAAATTTACACGTACTCATTTGACTTGGTTGGTTGGTAGTCACAAGATTTTAAGTTTAATGACCTTGTTACAAAGTCAAGATTAATGGCCTTGTTTAATGCTATTAAGGTCCTTCATCCCTATATAAGAAGGCATGGAGCAGCAGAATTTTAACACAAGAGAGAACAAGAAGAAAGCATACACACTTGCACGGTTTTAGTTCCAAAATACTCAACTCCTACTCCTTTCTTTGCCTAACTTTGTTCAAGGCTTTGCTTAGTTCGCCGGGTTCGTTTGTTTGGTGCTCAAACGTCGAACCGTAGCACGTTTTATCATGGGAAACCTAGGCCACAACGCTCCTAGCACTTTTGGGAGGTGAAAAATAAGGTTTTAAGGAAAGAGTGATCTCTTGACTCGCGCTAAAAACCCTATACCCAAACACGAGTCATCTTTCCTTCTTCTTTCGGTTTGGATTATGCTTCTAAGCAAAAATCCTCCTCTCTATTTGTTTTGTCGTTAAAATTAAATTTATATATAATATGAGGATTATTAGTTCTAATTTTTGGTTTATATATATTGGTATATCTTTTTCGTGTATATATATATATATATATATATATATATATATATATATATATATATATATATATATATATATATATATATATATATATATATATATATGACCTTTGGGTCCGTTTTATATATATATATATATTGATGTGTATATATATATTTCGGATATAATATTTTATATATTTTCGTGTGTATATATATAAATATTATTTTGGGATACTAAATCGATTTGGTTCATTATTTCCAACAAGGTTATTGTGATTTTTTGTCAATTAAAATCACAAGATAGACTTCACACGAGGATGTACACCTTCAAATAGCAATTGACTTGAGATGACTTTTCAATAAATCAAAGGATAACACATTTGAATCCACAAGTGAAGTTTCTTATATCAACTGAAAATAATTGAATTAAAAGAGTATCCAGCACGTTCTTATCTTGTAAACTAATTAAGGGTGTGTTTGGTTCGCACATAGGAATCGGAATCGGTATGGGTATCAAATACTTGGTAATGGTAATGGATTTTGGTGAAAATATTTAACATGTTTGGTAGTAAGGTGGAATGAGAATGGTTACTAATAGTAGTGCTTGAGAATAAATAAGGGAATGGAACTCTTATTGTATTTGGGTATGAGTTTTTCAATTGATGGGGTATTCGAAACCCATAATAGTGTTCTAAAAACCTATCAACCAAACAACAACAATCACTTTCATACTCATTCCTATGGGCAAAACCCACCAACCAAACACACCCTAAATAAGCCTTCATCTTCCAATCCGATCCGATCCGATCCAGTGCTAAACCAAAGCACCTCTCAACAAATTAAAATGTTTGGCTTCAGATCAAAACACCTTATCACACTATTCCTGGTATGCATACTTGTCATCTGATCTCATGCGTCCTAGGCATACTTGTTACCCAATCCCATTGGTTTACCAATAACGAGTGCACCCGTTCTTGTGGGAACATCAACAATGTTACCTTCCCTTTTCGACTAAATGGCGATCCAATAATTTGTGGATATTTGGATTACCAATTAACCTGTGAACACAACCAAACCTAGTTATTCTGATGCATTGGATGACTTATACTAGACTAGAGACAAGTGCACTGATAATGCCTCCCGGTCCCGGACCACAGCAGTCGCTTTGGTCATTCAAATGTTGGTGCCTAAGGCAACGCGTTTGGATGACTCAAGTCCAGGACTCAACTTTTCTTATCATCTCACTCTGCCGCCTTAAAACAACTTCTATTAACTTAATATTTTTTGTAATTTAATTTTTTTTTTTTTTTTTTTTTGGATATAGGCCAGATTGGATTAGAACTTTTATTGTTTTGTTTGGGTCGAGCTAAGATTTTTATTGTTTGGTCCTGTTTAACCCAATTCATATTTTAATGAGTTATCAATAAATGTAATAAGTAAAAGTAAAGAAATTGAAGAAAAAATAAATATTTTTTTAATGTTTTGAGCTACGATCAAGATTTGTATTGTTTAGCGCAACCCATATCTATCTATTTAAATAATAACTAAATATATGGTACATTACTGGAAATTCTGAAATTTCCGACCACCTGAAAATGATCTTAAATTAAGTTGATATCAAAAAGTCCAAAAAGTGATCTGAAATAGCAACTAAGGTTTTTCCAGATACCAAAAGTGGTCGGAACAAGACTTTCAACTTGATTTAAGATCACTTTCAGGTGGTCGGAAATTTCAGAATTTCCAGTAGTGATAAGTCAACCCACTCATTTAACATCACTCAAAGGGAGATGACGAGAGAATTGAATGTAAGGTAAGAATTTAGAAAATGTTTTCCGAATAAAATTTCATAAAACATTTTTAATTAAAATAGCTAATTGAAATGAGTACTTTTTAATTGATACCAAATATTAAAAAATTCAGCAAATCACTTTCAGAGAAATTTCCAAACTAATCCTAAATACAACTAATATTGAAAAGAGAAAAAAGAAGATGCAATGAAGATAAATACTATGGAGCTTTCTATATCATTAATCAGTGCGCCAAGTCTCCTTGAGGAAATTTGTATTACATACACAAAATTCCACAATTCTTGGATCTGTGGATACTAGAGACAAGTGCATTGATGATGCCTCCCGGCCCACAGAAGTTTGATTTGGTCATTCAAATGTTGGCAAGTTATTGTGTGAACCATGGTCCATACAGTGTTATGTGGACCATAATAAAAAATACATGTTTAATATATTAAATGTACATTATTTTTGTACTGAATGTACATTATACAATATAATGTACACTCAGTACAAAAATAATGTACATCCCCTGAATCTAATGTACATTATTTTTGTACTGAATGTACATTATTTTTGTACTGAATATACATTATTTTACTGTATACAAAATATGGTCCACACAACTTGTATGGACCATGGTCCACACAATAATGATTGTCAAATGTTGATGTATAGCTAAGGCTACGGCTTTGGATGACTTTGACTTATGGGTATTTGACAAATGACTGATAGTTAATAGCTGATTAAGTTAGCAGATAGTTGATGAGGACGTTTTTCAAGCATTCATCAAGTATCAAATCATAGTATAGAGTTTAGATATCGTTCCACTGGAGATGACTCTTGTAATGTTAGGAATTGATGCAAAGTGGAGTTAAGCACAAGCTAAAACTATCCTTATAGAAGCTAGGCATATTGTAAAAGAATTGGTTTGATATGATTTAACAAATAACAAAATAGACAATCAACACAAAGGACCGAGACTTGGTTGATTCAAGCAAAGATGCCAAATATTATACTAAGGATTAGGGAATTAAATCAAAGCATAGGGTAAGTGAGATGCACAAAAGTGTCCAAATACCACTCTCGTAGCTATTTGGACTTGCAACCTCACATTGAACTCCACTCTCGTGACAATTCAACCCAAGGATGCCCAAACAAGAACACAAGGCAAAGATTCCTCTTAACACCCAAAATACTCTCGTATTGGGTATTAAGTGTGTGAATGTGTGGCTAGTGTAGAAGCTCTACTCTCGTAGCAACAAACACACTCCAAATCAAGCATATAATTGTGATCCAACAATCATACACAAATTTCTCAACAAACCCATTTCACACAACAACCCTAGATCACCCAAATAATCCCCTTTATGCAATACAACTCAAATAGGCATCAATATTAAGAAATCAAACAAAATCCAAGTCCTAAAACCTTAGCTGCTCATAATATAACAATAGATACACAATATTAAAGGAGTAATTGAAAGCATAAATGAAAAGTAAAGGGAAGAGATAAATAAAAAACTTCTCTATTGCAGCCTTGAAAGATGAGTTTTTGGGGTGGAAAGAGTTCTTTTTAAAACAAGGGAGAAAGTGTCTTTAAAAAGTTGCAGAGGCTGAGCACAGGTGCGGATAAGGGTGTGCCCACAAAACAATGCACACTGTACAGTGGCCACAAGTGCAAGCAAGGGTGTGCCCAGACCCGTGGCCACAAGACAGTGCACACTGTCTGCTAGCCACGGGTGTGGGCACACCCTTGGCTAGTTGGGGAGGCCTCTAAGGTCTTTGGGAATGCTTCGATGCCCTCCTCGGCCGCAGGTCTCGCCATGGTCCATCCCAAAATTTCAAAAATTATTACTTTGGTCATCCAATTGTGCTTTCGTGCTAAGGTGGTTCCAAAAACTTGATCAAATACTTCATTAAATGCCTCAAAACATTGTTTATTTGTCAAATCATCTAACACACGCAATAATTCCATAAGTGACCAAATGACTCCATAATAGAATAAGTAACAAGCAAAAAGTACCAAAACATGCAAGGAATAAGTATTAGTTTTAGACATTCATCAATAGTTGATTGTACTCCTTACTTAAGGATTAGATAATGCTCTCCCTTGAGAGCCTCAATGTCACCCAAAAAAAAAAAAAAATAGTTGATTGTGTTGAGTGGTTTAACCGGTTGATAGTTAATAGGGTTAATTGATTAATTTTGATGTCAATAATACATATATCATTCCCAATCAAATGTCATCCCAAAATATCATTAAGTATGATTGTGAAGTGCCAAAGCTTTCCAAGCCTACACGCTAGTTTTAGGTCCACAAGCTTAAGTTAGAATTTTCTACATCGATCAAATCATGTGTATAGCTTACAATGTGGACGTGAGCTTACTGACCTTTCCATGCATTTGGGAATTTTGTCTTTATGTGCAGAATAAATTTTCTTAAGAACATAAATTCAAGGGAGTTGATTGAGTCAAATATCACAGAAAAGATGTGATGATGTGTCGCACATGGTTACATACAGATGAATATACATATCAAAATATAAAGTTTGATTGAAATTTCATGTGAGAATTGTCTATTGACTTTCTTGATTTGAGTTGACAATCAACTATGAACAACCTAAGTTAATTAAGGTTTTTGTGATTTTTTATCAATTAGAATCATAAGATAGACTTCACACGAGGATGTACACCTTCAAATAGCGATTGAATTGAGATGACTTTTCAATAAATCAAAGGATAACACATTTGAATCCACAAGTGAAGTTTTCTTATATCAACTGAAAATAATTGAATTAAAAGAGTATCCCGTACGTTCTTATCTTGTAAACTAATTAAATAAGCCTTCGTCTTTCAATCCGACCCGATCCGATCCATTGCTAAACCAAAGCACTGGATTGATGATGCCTCCCGGCCCACAGCAGTTGCTTTAATTTGGTCATTCAAATGTTGATGTATAGCTAAGGCTACGGCTTTTGATGACTTATGGGGTATTTGACAAATGACTGATAGTTAATAGCTGATTAAGTTAACTGATAGTTGATTGTGTTTGGTTTAACGAGTTGATAGTTAATAGGGTTAATTGATTTATTTTGATGTCAATAATACATATATCATTCCCAATCAAATGTTTAACATCAATCTACACTAATGCATTGGATGATTTCTCCCGATCGACCGCAGTTGCTTTGGAATTTGGTCACTCGGATGTTGATGTCTAAGGCAACGCGTTTGGATGACATAGCTCTGCAACCCCACATTTCTTATCATCTCACTCTGCACCCTTAAAACACCTTCTATTAACTTAATATTTTTTGTATTTTTTTTTTCTTTGGATGTAAGCCAGATTAAGAAATTGAAGACCTAAGATAATTACGGAAAACAGGTAGCATATATATCTTAATAATTATGTGGCCGGGGAAAACAACTAAGCCGGCCTTCGTTCCTTTCCTAAACCGAACCTCCAATCCGATCCCCTCAACAAAATGCTTGGAATTGCCTTGAGATCAAAATACCTAATTCTCATACCATTCCTCATATCTATACTTGTGGTCTCGTCCATCGTATGCATACTTGTTTTCCATTTCACAAGGCATTCCAGTACCCGCTGCAACCCTTCTTCCTGCGGGAGCATCCGCAATATTAGCTCCCCTTTTCGCCTAAATACCGATCCTCAAAATTGTGGCAATCCCGATTACCAGTTAACCTGTGATGAGCAAAACCGAACAGTGTTAACTTTAAAGTCCCAGAAATACTATGTCCAATCCATCAATTACGGAAACTACACTGTCCGTGTGGTTGATCCTGGTGTACAACAAAACAACATCTGCTCCTTTCCACGATATGCTTTAGCTCACTACACTTTTTTAAGATACTATGACAGTTATCCATATGGCATCGCCACACCTGACAAGATGACACCAGATGGCGGCTGGCTAGACTCAACTTTAATTACTGTACCAATTATTTTCTGGAGGTGTCCGTTCCCAATGAAGTCTTCTGCTTTTGTAGAAACCAGTAAAGAGTGTTGGAATGAAAGCAGTACTAAAGATTCATCTGGGCCTGGGGGCTATGCTTATGCTAAGCTAGGCTCTCTCATTGCATCGGATTTAAGAATTTCATGCCGGGTTGAGCTCATAACTATGACTTCATCTTTGCGAATTCAAGAGAATAAGAATGTAAGTAGAAGTCTATTGGAAATCCATGATGCTTTGATGTATGGATTTGAGCTATCCTGGTTCCTGGCTATTTGTAAACAGCATTGCGGGAGTAGAGGCGGGTGTTACCTTGACTTCAAAAATGAGATTAGCTGCTACGGATACTTCTATGGTAAGAATGAAAAGTGACTTATCTTGAATTCATTGGATGCCCGCAGCAGGAAACAGAGATCCAATCGATCATCATATAATTTAATTTATTATTATGTTGTTCAATTCTGTCCGGCCTGATTAATATTTCATTATGTTTCATGTTAATGAGTCATTAATTAGTTCCATTTTAGTAGTTTTTGCAGATCATGTCTCTAACTTCTTTCCCATCACAATATTGTTGTATGCAGATATATTAATGTGGAAAATACAGCTTGTTCTTACGTGTAAGAACTCAATCTCTTGTCACAAGTTTACCAACTGCTCTGTAAATATAACAGTACACCCTCTTTTTACTATAATTTCGTTAATGCCATTTCTAATATTTTGCAGATGCCGCCATACTTGCGGCTATAATAATCTTCGGAACAAAGATTATAATTGGATTTCCATGCGCAATTGTGTTTCTAATTATCAAATACCGCAGAAGGCATCTATCAGTGTTCGAACCAATCGAAAATTTCCTTAACGCCGACAACAATCTGTTCCCCATCAGGTACTCCTACAAACACATCAAGAATATGACCAAAGCCTTCAAGGAGAAGTTGGGAGAAGGGGGTTTCGGTTCTGTTTACAAAGGCAAACTTCGAAGTGGCCGCGATGTTGCAGTGAAGATAATAAGCAAGCCCAACTCTAACGGCCAAGATTTCATTAATGAAGTTGCTTCCATGGGAAGGATTCATCATGTCAACATTGTTAGACTTGTTGGATATTGTGCACAGAATGCTAAGCGTGCTCTTGTATATGACTTCATGTCTAACGGATCCCTTGACAAATACATTAACGAGGGAGCTGATGCAAGTTTGTTGAATTGGCAAAGGAAGTTTGAAATTGCAGTGGGAGTAGCTCGTGGGATTGATTACTTGCACCGAGGATGTGACATCCAAATTCTACATTTTGACATCAAACCACACAATATACTTCTAGATGAGAATTTCATTCCAAAAATCTCTGATTTTGGTCTCGCAAAACTATTTCCTACATATAAAAGCATTGTAACGCTTACTACAGCCCGTGGAACAATTGGGTATGTGGCGCCAGAGTTGATCAACAGAAGCATTGGAGCCGTTTCACACAAGGCGGATGTTTATAGCTTCGGAATGCTACTGATGGAAATGTTAGGCCTAAAGAAGGTCCCAGTTACCAGGCAAGATGAGTCGAGTCAATACTTCCCGTTTTGGATTTACAATGATATCAACAAGGGCAAGGCAATTGAGATGGGAGAAGAAGATGAGGATGAGAAGAGAATTACAAAGAAGATGACCATAGTTGGGCTTTGGTGCATCCAAACCAGTCCAATTCCGAGGCCTTCAATGAGTAGGGTGGTTGAAATGCTTGAAGGAGATGTTGAGCTGTTGCAAATGCCAACTGATGATACTTTCCTTTGGGAGCCAGTTATAGAAGTGGATCAAGAACAGACTTCCATGCCACATTCATCGGAATCCATAGCATTTTTGCCCAATTCTGTTAATTCCGACAGCATTGCTATAATTCTAGATTAAAGTGTAATTTATTACTTTGGCGCAGTGTGTAATTAATTAGATTCTATGTGGCATTATTGCGTTCAACGTACCATACCCCACATGTTATGTTGATGATAAGGAACTATATGGCATTGTGACCATGTTTATATATATGTAACATTGTAACCTGAGTCTAATTTAAAATTAATTGTGATTCTATATAATTTTTAAAATTATATAGAATAGAGTCAGTAGTACTCAAAAATATATATCTAATTTTTATACTGAACTATAAAATTGTTGTACATGTTCAAACATACTTTCTCAACCTAATGAAGCACAAAGAGTCAACAACACCTCCACTGGGGCTTGATCTCATGACCTCCCACATGGGAGAGATAATTACATGCCATTTGAGCACAAGGTGCTTGGCAAATTCAATAAATTTATTTTATTAGAAATAATGAAATTGCTGGTACATTTATCGGATTTACATTAGTTTTGTTTTAATCTGATCTTTCTAGAATTATGGCTTCGTTCCTGCAATAATTGGGTTTTTGGATCCTGGTGGATCTGTTATAAATTTGTGGAAATAAAGTTAGAGGGTGCTCTGCTTCATTGTTATTTCAAATGATGATATGAATGAAATCAACAATCAATAACGAACGTAACAGAGTGCCTACAGTTGGGTATGTAGCACCAGTGGGTCCACAGAAGCATCGGAGTCATTTCTCACAAGGTTGATGTATATAGTTTTGGAATGCTATTGATGGAAATACTAGGTCTAAAGAGAACACCGATTAGTAAGCAAGACGAGTTAAGCTAATATTTCCCGTCTTGGATTTATAATGACATCAACAAGGGCAAGGCAATTGAGATGGGAGAAGAAGATGAGGATGAGAAGAGAATTACAAAGAAGATGACCATAGTTGGGCTTTGATGCATCCAAACAAGCCCAATTCCGCGGCCTTCAATGAGTAGGGTGGTTGAAATGCTTGAAGGAGACGTTGAGCTGCTGCAAATGCCAACGGACGCTTTCCTTTTGGAGCCAGTTATGGAAGTAGATAATGAACAGAGTTTCACGCCACAATCTTCTCAATCCATACAATTTTTGGCCAACTTTGCTAATGCCCACAACATTCGTATAATTGTGGATTAAAGGGCCGGGTATTAATTGTGTATGTAATTAGATGCTATCTTTAATTTTTATATACTATGTGGCATTGTGTTCAACGTACCATACCCGACCCCCACGTCTTATGTTGATCATCTTGCACTATGTGGCAATGTGACTATGTTTCACTATATTAATTGTGTAAGCAATACATATGCTACTTTCTCGATCCATTGTTATCCCATTTTTTTTGAAAAGGTAAAACTGAAATAAATTAACTCAGTAAAGTGATTAAAAAAAATGAGAGAGACAAAGTCTCAATAGGTACAAATCGAATCAACACTTACCGCCTTAATCAAAACATGGGCATGACAGAAATTTAACCTACCAATGTGACAAACAAAGCAGGACTCGAAGGATTATTTGCAAATACAATTTTTTTTTTCTTATTTAGTTCATAACTTAAGAATGGGTTCAATTAGTAAGATCAATCTATTCATTATGTGTCAAGTTTTCAAAAGCTACAAAGAACCTACTTATTCTGATGCCCCCCGGACCACAGAAGTCGCTTTGGTCATTCAAATGTTGGTGTCCAAGGCAACGCGTTTGGATGACTCAAGTCCACGAGTCAACTTTTCTTATCATCTCACTCTACAGCCTTAAAACAACTTCTATTATCATAATATTTTTTGTAATTTTTTTTTTTTTTTTTTTTTTTTTGGATATAGGCCAAATTAGATTAAAATTTTTATTGTTAGGTTGGGTCGAGCTAAGATTTTTATTGGTTGGTCTTGTCTAACCCAATTCATGTTTCAATGAGTCATCAATAAATGTAATAAAACTAAAGAAATTGAAGAAAAAATTAATCTATTTTTTTAAATTTTCGAGCAACTGTCAAGATTTTTTATTGCTTAGCACAACTCAATACTATACTATTTAAATAATAACTAAACATATGACAAGTCAACGTATACATTTTAACTACAGAGAAAGTGAATAAGTTGAGTTTTGCATAACAGATAGTTTAAGGAAGTATGTGTAATGGAGATAAAGTGATGGGCAGTTTGTAGGATATTTATCAGGTTGTGGTGGGAGAAACAATACCAAAGATGTATTTTTCTTTTATGTGTGTATAAGGTTTCTAGCCATGGATCGTTTGATCTCTTTATACCATATGAGAACAATAATTTTCGGAATAATATTATTATAGATCAATCCATGATATGTAAATTACATGATGAAAAGATTATTTATAAGAATACATAGGAGTCTAAATGATAGATGGTAATATTCTTAATAATATAGGGAGATTGAGAATGAATTCTAGTGTGTCTTAGAATATAGAATTCTAAAATTACTTGGTTGAAATTCATTAAGGGTGAAGTTTTTCAAAGATAATACATTTGATTTGACAAGTGGACTTTTCTTATTCACAAGTCCGGCCACTCAAAATAATTGGCCGGATTAAAAGAACATCTTATCTTATATAATTGACAAATAACTAAATAAGCTTGAGCTAGCTTCTTCCATTCCTAAACCAAATCATCCCACCCCTAGCTAGCCAGAACAAAATGGTGGCCTTCAGATCAAAATACCTTCTCATACCGTTCCTCATATCACTACTTGTCATCTCAGGCCTCGTCATATACAAACTTGTTATCCATTTCTCAAGCCATTCCAATACCACCCACTGCAATCCTTCTTCCTGCGGGAGCATCCACAATATCAGCTTCCCTTTTCGACTAAATACTGATCCAAAACATTGTGGCAATCCTCATTACCAGTTAACCTGTGAACAAAACCGAACAGTGTTAACTTTACATTATTCCCAGAAATACTATGTTCAGTCCATCAATTACGACAACTACACTATCCGTGTGGTTGATCCTGATGTACAAGAAAACAATAATATGTGCTCCTTTCCCCGATATGCTGTAGCTCGGTACAGTTTTGCAGCTGTAAAAAAGTACAGTTTTTTTAGATACCACGGTGGTAATCCATATAGCATATTACGTGCCAAGAGGACACAAGATTCCTGGGAAAAGTTGCATCCAATTCCTTTAATTACTGTGCCAATTATTTTCCTGAGGTGTCCGTTTCCATTGAAGTCTTCCACTTTTGTGGAAACCACTAAAGAGTGTTGGAATAATAAAAGCAGTAGTGGTAGGAATAATAATGTTCCATTTTACTCTTCTGCAGGCCACGCTTATGCTAAGTTAGGCACTCTTAATGCATCGGATTTAAGAATTTCATGCCGGGTTGAGCTCATAACTATGACTTCCTGGCGAATTCAAGAAAATAATTATGTGTCGTCTCAGATTAATATTAGTCTATTGGAAATCCATGATGCTTTGACGTATGGGTTTGAGCTATCCTGGTTCCAGGCTCTTTGTGATCAAAATTGCTGGTGGAGTAATGCATGTGGACTTGATGACACCACAAATGAGATTACCTGCTGGCACAACTACGGTAAGAATTATATGATAGGTGACTTGTACTAGCTAGATCACATGCATACATATATAATTTATTGGAATATAATCTTAATTATTTGTCTTTAGTTTCCATTTTCTACTAGATTGAGAAGTAAATTTTCCTCACTTAGCTTCTACATCTTCTCGATCTCTAACTCCATTCCCATCACAATATTATTGTAGGTTTGTTACGGATGGCTCTTGAGAGTAAGAACTCAATCTCTTCTCACGAACTCTGCTCTGTAAATATAACTGCACCACTCTTTTTAGTATAATTACTTTAATAAAATTTGTAATATTTTGCAGTTGTGGCCAAACTTGCGTGGCTAATCTCTGTATTAAAGATTATTATTGGAGTTCCATGCGCAATTCTGTTTCTAATTATCAAATTCCGCAAAAGGCATTTATCAGTGTTCGATGCAATTGAGAATTTCCTCAGCGCTGAGAATAATCTGTTGCCCATCAGCTACTCTTACAAACACATCAAGAGTATGACCAAGGGCCTTAGAGAGAAGCTGGGAGAAGGCCAGAAGGGGGCTTCGGTTCTGTTTACAAAGGTAAACTTCGAAGTGGCCGCGATGTTGCAGTGAAGATAATAAGCAAGCCCAACTCTAATGGCCAAGATTTCATCAATGAAGTTGCTTCCATGGGAAGAATTCATCATGTCAACATTGTTCGACTTGTTGGATATTGTGCACAGAATTCAAAGCGTGCTCTTGTCTACGATTTTATGTCAAATGGATCTCTTAACAAATACATTAATCAGGAAGCTGATGCAAGTTTGTTGAATTGGCAAAGGAAGTTTGAAATTGCACTAGGAGTAGCTCATGGGATTGATTACTTGCAACGAGGCTGTGACATTCAAATTCTACATTTTGACATCAAACCTCACAATATACTTCTAGATGAGAATTTCATTCCAAAAATCTCTGATTTTGGTCTCGCGAAACTATTTCCTACCGATAAAACCATTGTAACGCTTATGGCTGCCCGTGGAACAATTGGGTATGTGGCGCCAGAGTTGATCAACAGAAGCATTGGAGCCATTTCACACAAGGCTGATGTTTATAGCTTCGGAATGTTACTGATGGAAATGTTAGGCCTAAAGAACATCCCAGTTACCGAGCAAGATGAGTCGAGTCAATACTTCCCGTCTTGGATTTACAATGATATCAATAAGGGCAAGGCAATTGAGATGGGAGAATTAGATGAGGATGAGAAGAGAATTACAAAGAAGATGACCATAGTTGGGCTTTGGTGCATCCAAACCAGTCCAATTCCGAGACCTTCAATGAGTAAGGTGGTTGAAATGCTTGAAGGAGATGTTGAGCTGCTGCAAATTCCAACTGATACCTTCCTTTCGGAGCCAATTATGGAAGTGGATCAAGAACAGACTTCCATGCCAGAATCATCAGAATCCATAGCATTTTTGCCCAATTCTGCTAATTCCAACAGCATAGGTATAATTGTGGATTAAAGGGGGTATGACTTATGTAATGACTTTAGCGCGGTGTGCAATTAGATGGCCCCATTATTATCATTTTGTTGTTTTGTTCGACTTACTACTACCTTAATTACATATTATGTGGACCTTATTGTAAGATAGATATAATAAATTTTCAAATATATGCTTGGTAATCATATGTTACTACATGTGTTGTCGAATTCAAATTCAATGTTAATTAAGAAAGTTTCAAAAAGTGTGTTCAATATTCAGCGTTAAACCAGATGAATTCAATCAAAATGAGATTTTGGTCTTACAACTCATTCTTGTAAAACAAGCTGTCTAAGAGCCAGAAGGACATAGATCATTGAGGTCATTCACATTTGAGAGTCTGCAAAAGGGCAGCAGCAAGTCTTCTCCCTCTCATTACATTGGTGTGGTCTATTTAATTTGGCTTTTATTCCAAAATGTTTTGACTATTCAACCTTTTTAATCTAGTGGACCAATTTTAAATTAGTAATATCATTGAGAAATAAGGTGTAAAAAATTGGAGAGAAATAATCATTTTTCTAAATACATTATTCGTGACCAAGTTCGTCCAGATGCATTTTTTTAATTTAATTAATTTATCTGAATTAAAAATATGTTTTTTATTTTAATTAATTTTTTAATTAAAAAAATTTACTGATTACTTTGAAGTAACCGGTTAATTAACTTAATTGTATAAAAATAAAAAGTTAAAAGTGTCTAATATAGAATTTTTTTTTTAGTTTAAGAGGCTAATTGCATTTTGACCTATAGTTGAAGGGCATATTTGACCATTTTTCCTTTTTATAGTTATATTCATTTGAAATATAAAATATACTCCTTTTGAGCAACCCATTGTGAGTTTTTGTTATGTTTTTGAGGAATTTTTACATATGTTGAGGAGAGAAAAAAAACATGTTCATCTGGTAAATTTTTGGGCTCTAATTTTTAAAAAGAAAGAAAGAAAACGAAGAGGGTCAAGTAAGTTAACTTACGCGTCAGGGTGGTTGCCAACTAGTAACTGCCATGATATTTGTTTTTTTTTTTAAAAAAAAAATGGATAAATTGATTAATTGTTACTTATGAGAGAAAATATAACACTTATGAAGAAAACTGTGACATTTTTATTAAAAAATATAATACTTTTAAATTAAAAAGTAATATATTAGGGATTGAAAAGTTATTTATGAGAAAAATTATAATATTTATGAGGAAATGTGTAAGACTTATTATGAGAAAACCGACCAACACATTTCATAGATGAAAATCGGCCGTGAGACGGTCAATTTGCTAACTATAAAAAGGAATCTTTGTGCTCAAAGTGAGGTGAGCTGATCAAGTGGCTTGTGGTCCACTGGTATCCGATATGCCCCTTATGTGGGATGTAATAGTATATTTGGGTATCCCTTCCCTGTAATAAAAAAAAAAAAAGTGAGGTGAGCTGATTTTTCCTCTTTACAAATACTGAAATACATATATCCTTCTCTCTTACCTGTTATAATTAAATTTGTGAAATATTAAATTAGTATATTACTTATTATGATTATTGTTTTAGTTAGAAGAAAACTTGTGAGATAGATATATGTTAGAATGAGAATATATATATATACTCAATGCAAAATGATGGAAATTATACATATATCATAAAGAAAGAAAGACCTTTTCCATTATATTCTAGTCAAAGAAGCATGCTTATAAAGATGGAGCACAAGGATTGTGAAAACTTGTCTGTATTTCCTCTGCGAGGTGTGGACGTGAGCTTACTGACCTTTCCATGCATTTGGAAATTTTGTCTTTATGTGCCAAATAAGTTTTCTTAACAACATACATAAAATCAAGTGGGGAGTTGATTGAGTCAAATAAATATCACGGAAAAGATGTGATGATGTGTCGCACATATTTACCGATGAATATTCATATCAAAATACAAAGTTTGATTCAAATTAATGTACACTCATCCATGGTTGATTGGTTAGTCACAAAATTTTAAGTTTAATTTTAGATAATAATTGTGTATTGGTCTTCTTAATTTGAGGCCGTAATCAGCTTGTTATGTTGATTTATGTTCTTCACACAAGGATTTACACTTTCAAGTAACAATTGAGTATGCTTTCCAATAAATCAATGGATAGCACATTTGAGTCCACAAGTGGAGTTTTCTTATATATCAATCTCAGTCAACTGAAAATAATTGAACTAAAAGAGCATCCTATATTCCTATTCTTATATATCTTGTAAACTAATTAAATAAGCCTTCATCTTCCAATCCAATCCGATCCATTGCTAAATCAAAGCACCCCTTAACAAAATGTTTGGCTTCAGATCAAAATACCTTATCACACTATTCCTCGTATGCATACTTGTCATCTCATGCGTCCTAAGCATACTTGTTATCCAATCCCATTGGTTTACCAATAACGAGTGCACCCGTTCTTGTGGGAACATCAACAATATTACCTTCCCTTTTCGACTAAATGGCGATCCAATAATTTGTGGATATCTGGATTACCAGTTAACCTGTGAACACAACCGAACAGTGTTAACTTTAAATTCCCAGAAATACTATGTTCAATCCATCAATTACAGCAACTACACTATCCGTGTGGTTGATCCCAATGTACAAGAAAACAACATATGCTCCTTCCCCAAATTCGATTTAGCTCAGTACAGTTTTTTTGGATACCGTTCTCCATATGACATCGCAACCGCAACATATGTGCCGATTATTTTCTTGAGGTGTCAGTTCCCAATGAAGTCTTCTGCTTTAGTGGAAACCACTAAAGAGTGTTGGAATAATAAAAGCAGTGGTTCCGGGGTCTACACTTATGCTAAGGTAGGCCGTCTTAATGCATCAGATTTAAGAATTTCATGCCGGGTTGAGCTCATGACTATGACTTCCTTGCGAATTCAAGAGAAGAATGTAAGTAGCAGTCTATTGGAAATCCATGATGCTTTGATGTATGGATTTGAGCTATTCTGGTTCAACGCTGTTTGTTACGACTCTTGTCTGTTTAGACATTTGTGTTACCTTGATGACGTGAAACATGAGGTTAAATGCAACGGTACGTAAGCATGAAAATTTATTTTAGTAAAATTACTAATTGAAGATTCAGAACACCCAATCAGCTTAATTGTCTCGAATTTACTTGATTTCCATTACATTATCATTATTATTATTATAGGTGCTCGTACATTACACGAAATCATGGATGGTCTTGGGGGTAAGAATTCAATCTTGATCTTTAAATATGCCAGTACCAGTCTTTTTTGTATAATCGTTAATGAAAATTTATAATACTATATATTTTGCAGGTGTGGCCAAACATCTGGGATGTAAGTCTCTAGCCTCTAGTTCTATTTTCCTATACAAATTAAACTTATATTATAGACATACTATCATCAATCTCTACACGTTGGATTGCAGTGATAATCTTTGGACCAAAGATTGTAATCGGAATTCCAAGTGTAATTGTAATTCTAATCATCAAATTGCGAAAAAGGCACCTGTCGGTGTTTGATGCAATAGAGAATTTCCTCAGCGCCGATTTTAATCTCTTGCCCATAAGATACTCTTACAGACATATTAAGAATATGACAAAGGGCTTCAAGGAGAAGTTAGGTGAAGGGGGCTATGGTTCTGTTTACAAAGGTAAACTTCGAAGCGGCAGCTATGTTGCGGTGAAGATAATAAGCAAGTCAAAGTCTAATGGCCAAGATTTTATCAATGAAGTTGGATCCATGGGAAGGATTCATCATGTTAACATTGTTCGACTTGTCGGATATTGTGCACAAAACTCCAAGTGTGCTCTTGTGTATGATTTCATGTCTAATGGATCTCTTGACAGGTATGTTAACCAAGGAGCTAATGCCTGTTTGTTGAATTGGCAAAAAAAGTTTGAGATTGCAGTGGGAGTAGCCCGTGGGATTGAGTACTTACACCGGGGCTGCAACATTCAAATTTTGCACTTTGACATCAAGCCTCACAATATTCTTTTGGATGATAATTTCGTTCCAAAAATCTCTGATTTTGGTCTTGCAAAACATTTTCCTGTTGATAAAAGTAGTGTCACGCTTACAGCAGCCCGTGGAACAATTGGGTATGTAGCACCAGAGTTGGTCAACAGAAGCATCGGGGCCATTTCTCACAAGGCTGATGTATATAGCTTTGGAATGCTATTAATGGAAATGCTAGGCCTAAAGAGAACACCAATTAGTAAGCAAGACGAGTCGAGTCAATATTTCCCGTCTTGGATTTACAATGACATCAACAAGGGCAAGATAATTGAGATGGGAGAAGAAGATGAGAATGAGAAGAGAATTACAGAGAAGATGACCATAGTTGGGCTTTGGTGCATCCAAACAAGCCCAATTGCGCGGCCTTCAATGAGTAGAGTGGTTGAAATGCTTGAAGGAGACGTTGAGCTGCTGCAAATGCCAACGGACGCTTTCATTACGGAGGGAGTTATGGAAGTAGATAATGAACAGAGTTCCATGCCAGAATCATCTGAATCCATACAATTTTTGGCCAACTCTGCTAATGCCCACAACATTCGTATAATTGTGGATTAAAGTAATTGTGTATGTAATTAGATGCTATCTTTTATATTTATATATACGCTGTGGCATTGTCTTCAATTACGTACCGTACCCGGCCCCCACGTCTTATGTTGATCGATCATATTGCACTATGTGGCAATGTGGCAATGTGACAATGTTTCACTATATTAATTGGGTAAGCAATACATATGTCACTCCTGATTCATTGTCATTCTATTTTTTTTATAGGAAAAAGTTGAAATAAATTAACTCAGCAAAGTGATCAAAAAGACCGAAAAAATAAAGTCTCAATAGGTACAAATCGAATCAGCACCTACCGCCTTAACCAAAACATGAGCATGACAGAAATTTAACCTACCAATGTGACAAACAAAGCAGGACTCAAAGGATTATTTGCAAATACAATTTTTTTTCCTTATTTAGTCCATAACTTAAGAATGGGTTCAATTACTTATCCTGATGCCTCCCGGACCACAACAGTCGCTTTGATAATTCAAATGTTGGTGTCAAAGGCAACGCGTTTGGATGACTCAAGTCCACGAGTCAACTTTTCTTACAATCTCACTCTACTGCCTTAAAACAACTTCTATTAACATAAATATTTTTTGTAATTTAATTGTTTGGTTTGGGTCAAGCTAAGATTTTTATTGTTTGGTCTTGTTTAACTTAATTCATATTTTAATGAGTCATCTATAAATGTAATAAGCATAAACTAAAGAAATTGAAGATTTTTTTTTTTTTTTAATGTTTTGAGGCTTTAAGCTATGATACGGTCAAGATTTTTATTGCTTAGCGCACCCCAATTCTATTTCTATTTAAATAATAACTAAACATATGACAAGGAAACCCGTTTATTTGACATCACTCAAAGGGGGAGAGGGAGAGAGAAAATTGAACGTGAGGTAAGAATTTAAAAAATATTTTCTAAATAAGATCTTAGAAAATATTTTTTTTAATTAAAATAGCTAATTGGAATGAGTACTTTTTAATTGATAGCCAAATGTTAAAAATTTGAGAAAATCACTTTCAGAGAAATTTCCAAACTAATCCTAAATACAAATAATATTGAAGAGAGAATTCCGATTACTTTTTAATTGATAGCCAAATGTTAAAAATTTGAGAAAATCACTTTCAGCGAAATTTCCAAACTAATCCTAAATACAAATAATATTGAAGAGAGAAAAAATAAGATGCAATGAAGATAAATACTATGGACCTGTCTATATCATTAATTAATGCGCCAAGTCTCCTTGAGGAAATTTGTATTGTATACACAAAATTCCACAATTCTTCGAGCCGTCAGCCGTGGATACCAGGGCAATTTTTACCGTGGACCTGGTCTACGATATAACGATTGGGATACCAGAGACAAGTACATTGAGGATGCCTCCGGCCCACAGCAGTGCCTTTGTCAAATTATTCTGCGAACTCGGGTTCACGAATCTAAAAATAAATAATTTAGATATTGAATGTTCACAATTTTTATATACTAAATATTCACAATTTACATATTGAATCTTCACAATTTGAATTTTGAATATTAAGTATGTAAATTGTGAACATTCAATTTATAAATTGTGTATTTTGATTCAGATCCACCTTGCAAGGTGGACTTGGGTCCATCGCATAGCAGTCGAATTGTTTTGGTCATTCAAAAGTTGATGTCTAGCTAAGGCTATGCCTTTGGATTACTTAAGGGGTGTTTGAGAAATGATTGATAGTTCAATAGATGATTAAGTTAGCTAATAGTTGATTGTGTTAGTTGGTTTGACTATAGTATTTTAGTTAGTTGTAAAAAAAATATTTGGTAAATTAGTTGTTTATTTTAGTTGATTTTGTATATCAAAATATAAAATGACCTATAAAGGTACTACTACTACCAAAAGGGTAAGTGAAATAAAAAAGAAATACGGAGTAAAAATATTAATATTGTCGTTAGGAAAACAAAAAGAAAAAGGGGCAAGGTAGTTGAACAACAACAAGAGAGATATAAATGTTAGGAATGGTAAGGATAAAATGATCATTTCATAATTAAGGTCAATTAGTTAATCAAAAGCTCTACTTTTCTTAGCTTTTCAGATTTGGACTTATTGTTTCAATTTGCTTATGCAATAAGACATTTTATGCAAAACTCTCAAAGTAGCCTATAGACCAGTAAAACTTCTGCTAAATTAAAAATAACAACAACAACAATAATAATAAGCTAAAGTTGTAGTTTAATGAGACTAAACACATCAAATTATCCAAATAATCCAATTTAAACAAGCATTAATTATTAGTAGTAGAATACTTGAATAGAAATTACAAAGTCCGAAATCCAAATGATCCAATCCAAACAAGCACTAATATTGAATTAATCTGACTAATCAGGATACTGTCACTAACTATACAAGTTACATTAAGCCATGCTCATACTCTCATACTATCATTAAGCATTAACTCATTTAGTCATGCTCATATTGTCATATATGTACTCCATAATCTGACTACTCTGTATACAACTATACAAGTAATACAACAAAATAGCATATACATACCTGCAAGATATGCGAGATGCAAGAGTGTAAGACTGCAAGCTACAAAGCGAAGCCTATGAATCTACGACGAGCGACAGGGAGCCGGGGACGGCAACTTGAAGTGCGGACTGGCGCTATGGCTGTTAGCTTGTTGTAGACTGTGGAGGGCGGCCTGGCGGTGTGCTCGTGAAAGCCGTCAATTTCACGGTGTGGTCTTCAATCATGTGGTTCGCGAGCAAAATAGGGTAGCTGACCGTCTTGTTGCGATTGCCCTCTCTCACGATATGGGGGCTCAGTTTCTGGACGACAAGCCTCCGGTGGTCGAGGAGGTGATGTGGGAAGATAGGATGGGCGCCAGATCCTACCGTGGAGCGCCGTTTAGGAAAACTGGCAACACCATTGCTCAGTAGTTGTTAAGCCGGGTTATTCCCTCTCCTTGTCCAAAATAATAATAATAATAATAATAATAATAATAATAATAATAATAATAAAAGCATTGCTACACCCTCCATTATTTATAGAAGTCATGATCTCCTTAACAGTTAAATCTTAACTACTTAATTAGCTACTTAACAATTCATGAAATAACAAATGTCATGTAAGGTGTAATACACTTAGTTATTTTATTACAAATTTTTTTACAAATTATTAATTAATTTTGGACTTAAAACTAATTTATGTAAAAAGTCTCGGCTAGAACAGGAGGGACATCAGTCACATTTGTTGCAACAAAAGGGCTGGAGGGTAACACCAAGTCGTGTCCATCTTTTTCTAGCATTTGAACGACCTGTTTCATTGGAGGCCGGTCTACCGGTTGCCATTGGATGCACCATAAAGCTATTATCGCCAGTTTTTTCACTATCATTTCATCATCCTCCTCCTCGATTCTGATTTGCAACTCTCCTCCTTTGTTTAAGTGATTGTACACCCAATCTGGAAAACTATCTTGGCTGTCATTAGTCCCTTTGTTACCATTGAAGTTCTTCCTTCCACCCACCATTTCCAGAAGCAACATGCCGAAGCTATAGACATCTGACTTGTGAGAAACTTTGCCAAAGTTCCTAGACACAACTTCGGGTGCAATGTAACCCATGGTTCCCCTGGCAGCGGTCATGGTGACAGCACTTTTCTCTTTGGAGCACAGTTTTGCAAGTCCAAAATCGCATATCTTGGGGTTCATGTTGTGGTCTAGGATGATGTTGTGGGGTTTGATATCAAAATGAAGAATTTGTTGGTCGCAACCTTGATGGAGATATTCAATTCCTTTGGCTATACCCAGGGCTATTTCTTGAATCTTTTTCCAACCCAGGGCAACATTCTTTGAGCCACCTGTTGAAAATATGTATTTCTCCAAGGATTCATTTGGTAAGTACTCGTACACCAGTGCTCGTCTAAATCCATCTGCGCAGAAGCCAACCAAACGAACGACGTTAACATGGTGGATCTTTCCTATTATCCCAACTTCATTGATGAACTCCTCTCCATTCCCCTTGGAATCATTCAGCACTTTGACTGCAACATGAATTTCACTGGAAAGCTTCCCTTTGTACACAATTCCATAACCTCCTTCTCCCAGTCTCTCACTAAAGTGATTAGTGATTTTCTTGATATCAGCAAAGCTATATCTTGTTGGCCTGATAGCTCTGTAATCTTCCAAAAATTTCTCAACTCTTTTCTGGTTCTGTTTTTGTGTTTTACCGGTGGTGTAAAACTGGTAGACGCCAAAGCTGACAAATGCCAACAGAAAGAAGCCCAAAATGGCACCTGCATATATATATGTTGGAGAAAACAAATCAGAATGACATATTATATCTATTCCTGGGGAATATATATAATGAGACTGAATAAACATAACAATAAAATAATTGGAAGAGTATAGTATGATGACCTGCAACAATTGGGTTTTTGGATCCTGGTGGATCTGTTATAAATTTGGGGGAAATAAAGTTAGAGGGCGCTCTGCTTCATTGTTACATACTATTATTTCAAATGATGATATGAAAGAAATCAACAATCAATAACGAACATAACAGAACAGAGTACCTACCAGCTTTCTTTGGTGTGCCAAGGCATTGAACTCCCAGTGTGATGTTATTATGGTTCTTTAACCCACAATTTTTGCCTTGTATCTCACATGTGGAACAAAATGGACTTAGCCAATTAAGTTGAAGAGTATTCTCAAAAGGATATCTCGGATAATGGAATGTAGTTTCACGAAACTTTACGCAAGATGGGGACGGGAATTCATCGAGTGAAACTGAGGAATCTAAGGCATATACTTGGTGACCAGGAACACCAACACAGGAAATTAACCAACCATAAATAGCTTCATCAGAATCAATGGATGCAGAACAGTTGAATAGGGAGTAATAATCGGAGGATGATGTGCTAGAATATTGGAATGGAGATAGAGATAAATTAAGGTATAATAGCATCTTGCCGGAAAGACAACCAGCAGGGTCAGATAGGAAGATCTGCTGGGACGCGTAGTCAATCTCATCAACCTGTAATTGCACCTCATGCGGCAGCTCCATCACAGTGTTGCCATTGTTATCACAGGATAACTCGAATCCAGGATACCCACAGTGCTCCGCATCCTCATCGCCATCTTTAATTAGCTTGAAAGGGAAATGGATTTTTGGACCGCCTTTTCTGCACCTGCTCTCCCCGCAGTCATCAAACCCCACAACAACCAATGGAAATAATAGTGTGATAATAATAAAGAGACGAAATGAGAAGAAGATGATGATGAGCCGCATCTCTATGGAGTAATCGTTAGTGATGACTGATTGCTTTGCTCATTCAATTGTTTATAATTGCTTAAGTGTTCAAAGGCAACGCGTTTGGATGGATGACTATTTCTGTATTTCAGTCCGCAACTGGACTTTTCTTATCATCTCACGGAAATTTTGATTATGGATGGAAAACAAATTAGTAACATCAATTGGGTGACACGTCTCAAAGAAGTAAAGACGGGTCAAAATAAAATGTAATATTTATACTAAAAAATGTAATATTATTACAGAAATAAAATGTTTATTACTTAGGGAAAATATAATAATTTTGTAGGAAAATGTAATACTTTTACATTTTAATGTAAAAGTAATATATTTTTCACATGGTTGTAATAGGCGCTAGGCGCTAGTCGGGCGGTAGAGTAGCGCCTAGACGGCCTAGGCGACTAACTAAAAAAAAAGAAAAACAGTGCACGTATGTAGGTGCATATATATATATATATATATATATATATATATATATATATATATATATATATATATATATATATATATATATGGGTGGCCTTCATGTAGGAACCACTTAATAGGTGAGAACATAAGAACCCATCCCAGCCTTTGGATCTAAGTCAATTAATTATTAATATAAAGAATAGAAAAGGTTTTAAGAGTAATTTTAGCACCCTAATAATTTTGAATTAAATAATCACGCCGATTAGATCCCTAGAATTTAGGCCAACAAGAAGGAATATACTGGGACTCTAATACAGCAATACATCCGGCCTCCAATTACACGCTGTCCACACCCATTCCAACGCAACCCTGCGAATTACGGCGACTGCATCCAAGCCCGGCAAACAACGTGAAACGACCAAGAAACACACCGGAAACAATGGCGGCAACAAACAACAACGAAAGTAAGTCCCCTGAAACCCCATTACGGTGTTTGTCATCCGATTGTTGAATTAAATAGAACTTGAACTGCTGAATTCTGTTATGCAAGCCGGCAGATGAGTGGAACGGCACACCCTGCGGCACTAAAGTGCACAGACGGAAACACCACCCCCTGCTGTGTGCCGACTAATTTTACTGTACAATTCCGGGGCATTGTATGTACCCTACGCTCGTAATTACAGAATAGCATGTGTGCACATATGTGATCATATACGTGCCAATTAGGGATGAAACCCAAATATCTGCTACAGATGCGGCGTGTGTGCCTCTACGTGTTAGCGAATGTGCCAAACTGGTCAATACCCCACAATAGGGGTGCATAATGGCACAAACCAAAGATATCGGTTTCCAACATTCTGTATTAATAACTTTTCATTGCTCTACAAATGAACACTGCTCAACAGGCTGTGTTATCAACATCTCTCCTGGCACAACGAAGTACTGGACTCCAGAGTGTGAAGCCACAAAGAAGCCTTTCGCGGGTCAAGTGTTTAGTAGTTTGGAAGCTGCATTTCAGTTTTACCATACTTACGCAAAAAGTACTGGATTTGACGTGCGTCGTGCATCCGAGAAAAGGGACCCGCATGGAAACATCACATGGAAGTATGTGTTGTGCTCACGTGCAGGCTTCAAACTTCCTACGGGCGATGGGGATGGCGTAGGCATACTGACAACTGATCACAAGAACACAACTAAAAGGCGCCGTGTCACAAACAGAGTGGGGTGCAATGCAAAAATAGTATTCAAGCGATTAGATGGTGATAGTTTTGAGGTAAACTCAATCGAGGAACGCCACACCCATTCATTATGCACACCCATTTCTAGACCATTCATGAAGGCAAATCGAAAACTTGACCTTGGCCACCAAAATTTCATCATCAACTGCTCAAACGCAAACATCGGGTCGTGCAAGAGCTTTACACTATACGAAGAGATGGTAGGAGGTTTTGAGAATGTTGGAGCTACAATAACAGATTTTGGTAATTTCAAACGAGATATAATGGCATATATAGAAGACACAGATGCCCAACTAGTGATTGATAAGTATACGGAGAAGAAAAACGCGCCACCTGACTTCTATTTCGCCCACGATGTTGACGAGCTAGACCAACTGTGCCGAATATTTTGGGCGGATCCTCAGGCACGCCACAATTTCAACCTATTCGGTGATACTATGTCATTCGACGCCACATACGGTACAAACAGGTAACCCCCACTATCTTCGCCACCTGAATGCTCTAATTTATGCTGATACGCAAAAAAGAATGTGTATGTATGTGCCACCGTGGTGGTTTCTGTGTGCACCATTGTAGATATTGGTGCATACACTAAACCAGTGTGCTTAGATGCACCCTGCAAGTGCCTAATGGGCACAGGATTGCCGAATACCCTACTTGAAAACACCACAGCAACAGAAGGCTACCGGGCACGTGTGTGCCCAGCAGGCACTCAGTGTGTGCCTCCCATGTAACAAAAAACAGATTAACATGATATGCCTTTGTGTAGGACAATGTGTGCACATCCCTAGAATTTTCTGCTTTGTGGTTTAATCCTACAAATACAAATAACTAACTACTAAAATTCTCCCACCCCTTGATTTGTTGGCTGTAGGTACAAGTTGGTGTTTGTGCCATTCACCGGGGTTGACCACCACAAGAAGAGCGTGACATTTGCAGCAGGACTAATCGCTCGAGAAGATGTGGACTCCTACACCTGGCTGCTCGAACACTTCAAAAACGCAATGGGTAAAGTTCCAACATGCACAGTTACCGACCAAGACCCTGCAATGAAAGCTGCAATAGCCAGAGTATTTGATACAACTCGCCACAGATACTGCATGTGGCACATCATGACAAAGGTTTGCGAGAAGGTAGGGCCAACATTAGCTAAGAGTGATGGATTCCTAACAAGCTTAAACAACGTGGTTTGGAATGAGTTGCAAACAATTGAAGAATTTGAAACAGCCTGGCAAAGAGTCATGAAGGATTATAATCTAGTTGAGCACAAATGGTTTAACCACTTGTACGAGATACGTACACAATGTATACCAGTATTCTTCAAAGACGTGTTCATGGGAGGCTTACTCAGAACAACATCGAGGTCAGAGTCGGAGAATAGCGTATTCAGCAAATGCACTTCCCCCCATCTAAGTTTAACAGAGTTCTTCACAAAGTTTGAGAAAGCAATATACAAACAGCGCCACTACCAATTGCAACTAAACGCAGAATGTGACGGAAAATTCCCAGAGCTGAAAACACCATTATTACTAGAGCGTCAAGCCGCCACAACGTACACCGTCGAAGTGTTTTACGATGTCCAAAAAGAAATAGTCGACGCATGCTTCTCATCCCAAGTTGTTAAGAAAACAAATGAAGGATGCACCATCAAATTTGATATAGAGGACATAAACAAGTCGACATATTCAGCGGAGTACAATTCTACAAACACAACAGTACAGTGCACATGCAAGATGTTCCATAGGATTGGGATACAGTGCAAACATGTGTTCTTGGCATTCAAGGCTGCAAATCTGGACCGAATACCGAGCCAGTATATCTTACCACGATGGTCACGCAACACATGCTGGAATCACACGCAGATCTACGCAAACACCAACCAGAATGGTTCGACCGAACACGTGGACGGGGCTGCAGGAATGGGAACCGTATTTGACGAGTTCTTCAAGTGTGTTGGGTATGCATACGGTAATAACGACAAAATATCTGAGCTGGCACACCTACTAAAAGCACACAGAGAGAAATCAGCAGAAAGCATACCCCAGGACGAACCTAGAGCATCAAAAAGCGATATCATACGGAGCATCTGTGGGTCCACCTCATCACCAAACATCAAGGTCCACCCCCTGCAATCGCTAAAAACAAGGGTTCCGGTAAGCGTTTCAAGTCAACAAAGGAGATTGCATCAACACTAGCAGCCAAGGGGGTAAGGAAGTGTCGGACATGCAACACATACGGACACCATGATAGTCGCAACTGCGAGTTACGGACGAAGACCACAGGTCACAAATAGGAAAACCGAACTGTGCACTTGAGACTAGGATCGTGTGCCTGACTGATGTACTGCCAATTATTTTCTTCACATTCTTTAATGATGTATTTGTGTACAGATAACTAGCTACCGACTCCATTTATCATAGCAATATGTGTTCACGTGAATCGATTAATTCATTCTGTCTTAAACTAGCTAGTGCGGACCAAGTAAAACGATTAAACAGAATATGCACTCAAGCTCGTGTGCACTGGGTAAACAGAGATAATAGTGTGCACACGAGAATACGTGTGTGTGCCACCCTGCCAAATGCAACCACCAAGCATTGTTAATACTGTCTTGTGTGCACTGGCTACCAAAATTGTGTGCCATAACGTGCGGTATTATTGTAGCCACACCCTATGTGCCCGCACATTCAACAGTACGTGCCATTCTGGTCACACCGATCCAAAACGGCAGTTAAGGCCAAACCTAAAGATGTGGTGCTCTTGAACAAAACTACGTGTGCCAGAGTGATCGGTCGGACTGGCCAAAACAACTACCACTCATATCCACATGCCTGATGCTGATACGCTTATCAAGGAACAGAGATAATAGTGTGCACACAGGAATACGTGTGTGTGCCACCCTGCCAAATGCAACCACCAAGGACTGCCAATACTGTCTTGTGTGCACTGGATACCAAACTAGTGTGCCATAACGTGCTGTATACTTGTAGCCACACCCTATGTGCCCGCACATTCAACAGTACGTGCCATTCTGGTCACACCTTTCCAAAACGGCAGTTAAGGCCAACCCTAAAGTTGTGGTGCTCTTGAACAAAACTACGTGTGCCAGAGTGATCGGTCGGACTGGCCCAAACAACTACCACTCATATCCACATGCCTGATGCTGATACGCTTATCAAGGAACAGAGATAATAGTGTGCACACGGGAATACGTGTGTGTGCCACCCTGCCAAATGCAACCACCAAGGATTGTTAATACTGTCTTGTTTGCACTGGATACCAAACTAGTGTGCCATAACGTGCTATATACTTGTAGC